CACCTTCGGGGTTGTTATAAACTAATTTGCTTAATTCCGCGTAAAGAAAGAAAATGATGTGTCCTGCCCAGTTTCAAGGGGACCTTCCACCCTCCCTCAATCGCTAAGTCTTTTAGCGGCCAGCCTCCGCAGAGTCTAATTCACCTGAGGATGCCTCGTGTAGAGGCGAAACACGTGTCGTATTTTTGAGAGTGGTGTGTCGTGCCTAGTGTGGTGGTGCTGGGGGTGGTAGTGCTGGGATTAACGGCGACGGGCATAGTGCGCGCGATTGAGAGAGGGTGGGAGGTCGCCTTGAAACTGGGCAGGACACATCATTTTCTTTCTTTACGCGGAATTAAGCAAATTAGTTTATAACAACCCCATTATAATGGATTTCCGCAAAGTAGCGCCTGATTCTATCAAATACGCCAACCTCAATATGACGAGAATGATTTATTTAATTTTAAGTATTAGGCTGTGATAGGTGATACTGATAATTTAAGTTGAGCTCAGGAACTATCTGCACTTAGTGGACGTAAACCAGCCAAATGCTAATGACAAGCTATGGAAAATCAGGCCACTAATAGACCCTATTTTGGAAAAACTGCCATAGTTTGCCACGCACTTAACATATGTCAATTGACGAGCAAATGATAACATTCTCTGGGCGATGTGAATACCGTCAATATGTGCCTGCTAAGCCAAATCCACTAAACCTGAAGAACTTTGTCCTGGCTGCCCGAGACGGCTTAGCCGTCTTTGGATTTTGAAATCTATGTTGGCAAGGATACATTACCAAATGATGTAATGAAAAATCTAGGACTAGGAGCAGGTATCCTCGAAAAACTATGTCGCACAGTTAACGATAGCTGTGTTTTGTACACAGATATATTTTTTACAAGTCTGAAGCTGGCAGAACTTTTGCTAGTAAAAGTTAACCCAATTTTTCTAACTGGAACTGCAGTCTCAAATAGTATTGGACCAGTAGCGAAGAAACTGAAGAACGACAAGACGTTAGAAAAAGGACAGTGGGATGAAAAAGTAAGAGACGATGAAAATGTGTGTGTCGTAAAATGGATGGACCAAAAGGCCGTAACAATGTTGTCTACATGTTCAGGGAGCGCTCCTGCAGATACCTGCAAACGGTGGTACAAAAAAGAAAAGCGGAAGATAGATGTAGCCCGGCCAGAAGCAGTCAGAAGTTACAACACCTGCATGGGTGGAATAGATTTGTGCGACAGACTAATTGCATACTATCGAAGTGCTATGCGAACAAGAAAGTGGACAGTACGAATTTATTGCCATTTTCTGGATTTGGCTGTAGTCAATTGCTGGATAATGGTACACCCGCTGTTGCACCTAGGAAAATATCCAACGCAAAAACAAGTTGGGCTTACTTCAATACTGACTGAATCTAGCCAAAGCGATGACGAAGTATAGCGACGGAAGGGTTGAATCCAAGTTCTTGCTTTCTGGCTTCAGATTGTCCCAGCGCCAGCCCTTTGAGAAGCTCCAGCTCGACTGCTACCAGCGATGGACTACGGTATACCGATGACCCACCTACAAAAAACATCGGCGGGTTGTACCCCAACCACAACATGAAATAAGGCTTGACAATGTGGATCATCTGCCGCGATTTGTGGACAGTAAGTCCGCTTCCAAATGCCGTCATTCGACGTGCTCCTCACGCTGCCGCACCATGTGCGTGAAATGCAATATGTACCTGTGTGTGCTCAAAAATAATTATTTTTGGAGTTAAAACACAAATAAAAACTTTAGCCCACGTTAAACCTAAGGTACTTAAGGTACGTATGTGCTGTGCACCATGGCTTTTTTACTTGTGTAAATATTTTTTTAAAAACAATCGTGTGTTATATTTTATACCTCTACAACTATAATAAACCATAAAAAAACATTGTAATCACATTTGGTTCAAGTTCAGGTCTTAAGAGGATACATATCTACTTTAAAACTAAATAATACCACTTCAGAGCATTCCGAATTTCACCCATCTTACCCAAAATAAAAATGTTTTTTATGATTTTATTCCAGTTTCCTAGGCGTAATTAATATCTATAACTATGCCAAATTACAGACTTGAAGCTCCTAGGGTCCTAGGCCTTCTGAACAAAACGGCGGACGGACGAACGGACATGGCAAAAATATAAGAGTTCCTTGTTGTGTAACTACGGAACCCTAAAAAGCAGAAGAGTCCGGAGTGGGAATATTAAAGAGAAAATTCAAAGTATTTTGCTTTACTTGGTAATCAATGCAAGACGTAGAGAAGTGCTTGTAGTTACACTCGACATCTCGTGAAACATAGAAAAGTCAGCTCTGAAAAGAGCTATTATATTATCAGCATGGAGCATGATATAATGATGTAACGGCGTAATTTACTTTTCAAACGAAATAAACAACTTTTCGCTTTCTATAATTAAATTTTAATATCTCTGTAAAAATATGCATTGTCCATGAAACACAAATTTTACAACCCAACGAAAAAATGGCCGTCACATTTATCTCTCCTCTCCGCCCCACCTATCACAAATCAACACCTCTCCACGTCACCCAAGACAACACACCGCACCACGTGACACCTTTCCAATACAACCTCTTTTATCTTTATTACTATCGGCCGTCCTGTAACAATTGCACCGCAATTGGTGCAAATAAAATCATATTAGCTGTCTAAAAGGTCAATCAAATCATCTCTAGTTACAATATCCTCATCACTGCTGGTTTCATTACAATCAGGGGCACTATGATATATACATAGAGCATATGCAGCAACTACACCAGTAATTTTTTTATAACCCCTCATACCCTTGATGCTTTTAATCTCATACCTACCATGAGGAAGAACTTTCTGTATAGAGTAAGGACCTGAGAACAGAACTTGCAATTTCGTATTGACATTTTTGAATTGTCCACCAATGAGAGATTGTTTCCATAAAACTAAGTCCCCTTTTTTGAACTTTAGTTCAGGTTTGTGACGCTTATCATAAATACGTTTCATAGTTTCCGCCCGATGTTTCAGTCGATTATTTTTCTTTGTCATAACTAAACATAACTTTTTTTATGTGTGGCAGAGCCATGCTGCAGCTTAATTGTATAGTTGCAGCACAAAAGGCTCGGCTCAACCGGCCTAGGACAACGCTCTCACAGAATACCAGCGTAAAATAGCAGCTTAATGCTGCTGTTTCGTATGGTGAGTGTAGAGAACCCGAGACCCTTTTTACTGGAAAAGGGGCATTTCATCTCAGTCCTCACGGCTGATAACGCATCTGCATTTTGATTCGCAAATGAGGATAGATGTAGATGTCTATGGGCCATAGCAACCACTTACCATCAGGTGGACTGTGTGCTCTGAAAATCTGGATAAAGAAAATTGAGCAATTAGGTGACATTTATAATTGAAGTAATGATTTAAAATCTCTTAACTTACAATCAACTTCTCTTTTAACTTTTACAGTGGTAGAGCCACGCGGTAGCTTTTGCTGTCGCACGGATGGGCCGGCTCGAACCGGGGTAGTACCACGACCTCACAGAAAACCAGCGTGAAGTAGAGGTTTACCTCTGCGTTTCGCTTGGTGAGTGCAGGTGGCCGGAGGCCCTTTTTACTGGAAATGAGGCATTCCATCTTAGTCCTCACGGGTGACAACGCATCTACATTTTGATTTGTAACAGAGGATAGATGTAGATGTCTATGGGCCGCAGCAACCACTTACCATCAGGTGGACTGTGTGCTCGTTTGTCACCCTTATCCTATAAAAAAAAAATCAAAATTACAAGGTCAGGCGCGAAACTGGTTTAATCGTCTTGATTCATACAATCATACATGGGACGAATGGAAAATAATATTAACTAAAGCTTTTCCTATACATCATGATTATGCATCTTACTGGACGAACTAATGAATCGTAAAAGAGATGAACACTGAAACAATGACAAAGTATTTTCAAGAAAAACTAGCTACATGTGTTACAGATGTCAGTTAAAAAGCATCTGTGTCATGTATTATTAGAGGCTTACCACAAGAATTGCAGACTAATGCTCAAGCTTTTCAGTGCTCTAACCCTGATGAATTATACGAAGGTTTTCTGTGTGCTTTCGATACTTATCAAAGTACTACTATCTATAATATGTCTGTACGGGCTATGAGTACTATGAGGCAACAAATACGTTTTTTGCCTTTGCCTTTTTTTAAAAATTGTAACTATTAAGCCACGTGTACACTGACTACTGAACTATTCCGAATTACTGATTACCCTACTACGTATAGTAAAAAAGGGTTGTGATAAATACTCCTAGAATTATATTGTCAGTTTGTGGTCAAGTGACATTATGTGTATGTGTATGAATTATGACTCTACCAACATAACTCTAAAATTATCAATAAAACACCATTACTTGATCAATGTAATGGTGTTCTATTGATTTATTAACATTAAATATACTCTTTTTATTTAAATTTATCCTATTTTTTACTTGTTATTTTGTCTTAGAACTGTGTTATATGGCACAACGTTTCTTCACGCCCGACGTTTATAAACGTTGCCACCACCATGCTGGTCCGATATACAATACTAAACGACATAACGTTCATCTGCGGAAATAAATATGAGAATGTCACGCCATTTCATAATTCTATCAACGCGACGTTATAAGACGTTGCTCACGCAAACGTGTTAATACGTAAAACGCCTACTACTACTGCCTCATTGATCTAGTAATTGTAAATGCAGCTGCTAATCATGAAGTCCCTGGTTCATATACCGGGACAGGCCAAAAAGCTATAAGTCATTGAGTTTTTTTGTCAAGAAATTGTCAGGTTGCTACTGAGAAAATCTTGTGGCATGACTTGTATAACATTGGGAATCTCTATAATATCCATAAAAAAAACTAAAAACCAGTAACTTGTTTGAAAATATAATTACTAATTTAAATAAAATATTGACTGATATATAGTTATGTACAATATATTTATAGTTTATATTTGTATCACTTTATATTTACATTTTTTAAGCTTCAATGGCAACTTTATTCTGCTTCTCCTTAGCTCTTTGTGGCCTCTCAGGTATTTCCTCTAACTTGCTTTCTGGAAGTTTATCTGTGGGCACATCAGGCAATTTGTCTGAGACATCAAGTATAGACTCTAGTTCAGCTTCAATAGCCTCATCATCCTCTGTTGTCAAATATCCAGAAATCATTTCATCTATTTCCCTTTGTTTTTCAACACCCTCTTTTGTTTCATCCATAATTTTTTCTATTTCATCAATATTAAGCATATCATGCATTTTCTTTAAAGCTGCATTTCCAGTTTTCAAACCATCTAAGACCTAGAAAGTGAAATATTTATTTTTTACAGATAGTGAAAAAAGGCAAAAATAAGGTTATGATCTGGCAGCAAATATGTTTATTAAAAAAATTTGAAATCCAACAATTTTCCAAACATAATAATAGCATGTTTCTAAAGAGACCAATGCAATGACAATGGTGTATTGAAAATATTAACTCTAATAGTTTTTCTTTTAATAGCATGGTTTAATCACACTGAAGGATAAACCAGCTCTGTGGGATAAAAGACATAAAACATTCTCTTTAAGACATTATAATATGAGGCATGTGTCTTTCCATACTAATAACTTTAGAAACAACTGTTTTCTTTGAGCTTTTTTTACAGATTTTATCGCATTTCATTTTACTTATTGTACTTATTTCAATTCCTGATGTTTCAGTCAAAAATCTGACCATACCAAATACAGCAGCATAAGGTTTTGTAAGGACTTCCTAAGATCTCAGGTAAAGACTGCACTCATGTATGTACGTTTTCATATACATACATATATATAACACAGGAAAGAAGCCTTAATACAAGTATGATATGGGTATAGCATTTTTTAAGTTTCATAAACGGTGAGCACTAGTCTACCCATGTACAGTAAATATTTTTAGGTATGGTTAGTAATTATGAGACAAAGAGCAGAGCAGCTAAATTTACAAATGTGAAATGTTAACACATCATGTGTAACATGCTTGAATGGTTACCCATTCAGTGGGTGTTGATTGGTGCAATCACCATACATATAATAGACAATCAAAACTCGTGTCGACTCCTATAAGGGGTCAGCTTAATAATCTGCAGCACGATTTAAGTGATCATTTTAGCTTTAGGTGATAGGCAATGATGCTATTAATTACCATCTAGCTGCTTTTTATGCCGAAAATCTTTAGTTTTCGAGATATCGATAATTATAGTTTTGAGCTTATATCCATTTTAAAATGATACAAAAACTAAATAACAATATAATTATTAGAGAGTCTGTCACTGTGGGGAGGTCATGGGGCTTACCTCAAGCGCCCCCATGCAATTTTAGTTGCTGGAGCTGCATCGAAATATTTAAAATTATTTTCTAAAAATATTCATAAATCACTAATTAATACCTGAAACTGAATTTTTGACATTGCCAGTCACAGATAAACTCGACCCTATAAGAATTATATTAATATCATAAAGGGGTATCATAAATTTAAAAGTCATATTTTGCTCTGCAAATACATCTGGTAGTTTTAAAAATATAAAGTTATATTGGCCAGTTTATATTCATTTTCTATTATTATTTACTGTTAAAATAAAAATGCATACCTGTATTTCTATCTGTGTAAATTCGAGATCATGGGTAAGCTGTTCTAGTTTTTCTAATTGAGCATCGGTGTTCTGAAGTAGTTGCTCCTGGTATTTCTTTTTCCTCAGTAAAAGTTTCGCTCGATCTCGTTTATCTTCTGCAAGCAGTTTCTTAGCTAACTGTCGATCTCTTTCTAAATTAAGTTCTAATTTCTTTTGGTATTGTTTTAATTTGTCCCTCTGCTGTTTTAATTGTAATACCGCTTTATCTTGTTCTGTCACTTTGCTAACATGTTTTTTACTTTTTCCAAATAAAGCTCCCATTTTACAGAACAGAACACTGTACGGAATTTAACAACTTATGGAATCGACATAGACGTTGAGGATTGAGGTACCCAAAAAACTTATTAAAAATAAAATGTATAACAATGATAATTTTTTCGGTCATAAGCTCATATTCACAATCACAAACTATATTATTATAGAATCACAGTCACAGATAACTGTATAGAATAGAAATCACAAATCAAAGACTTCTTCTTAATAACTGGCTTTACGGCTCTGGGATCTAGCCCTTCTGAGCCTGAAGTTACAATATATTATAATAATTATCCTTCATAGTATACTGCTTCACAATATGTTGATGCGTCACATTGTGCAGCCCTTGGGAGATTTTGACGGCAACTTGAGCCAGCAGACAGCTGACGGTTGGCGATGGTATCTCAAGGCGCCTAAGTAAACAGACACCTTATTTTGAGAATCATATCACCATCAGAGCACTTGTTACACAGTTTCCGCTAATACTTCACATGCGTAGACACTTAATACACAAAATCGCACCATTGTTACATATCAAAGTCCACTTCACACCATTATTTAAACCATAATACAGAAGCAGCAAACCGCCGCCGGTCAAGTTCTCGCCAAAACTCCCACATATCAAAGAGTATAGTAACTGTCAAAGAGTATAGTAATCATGGAAATACATGTACTTCGTACAAACTGCAACCCGCACTTTCGAATGACATTAAAAATACAAGAAAACGACCTTGAAATTTTTCATTACCCCTCAGTCTCTTTTTAATTAGGGTGAACACAAAATACAAGAATTTGGGATATTATGGGGAAAAATCAGTTTATTTTTATTATATTCATTTATAAAATTTTAATGTAATTGAAAATAGTAGTTCCATTGAAACGCATGATATTAGAGAAATTCATAAGGACGAGCCTGCAGGCGGAAATTTATTAATTAATATTATTTATTCGTGTACTTTTTTGTCAATAAACGAATAAACGAGTGACCTGGCTCTATATACAAAACTAACTATAACTAAAATAATTTTTGTCCAAAAAGGAACAAAAAATTCGATTTCCCATACAAAATGTATCGGTCACGTGACCAATTTTGTATGGGAAGTCAATTTTTTTTTAATTTCCACAAAGAAAATTCTTCAGTACCTTACTCAGGATGATGGTTCATGGTTAAAGTTTTCGGGAGGCTGTCTTTACATCTCTTATAATGTAACATTAGGAAATAATATAACTAAAATAATAATCGTTTTTATTTACATTTATTATTACAATAGCAATAGTGTCTACAAATTTAAAATATACAATAATAATAATTAGAGGTGAAGGTTTTTACAACTTAATTTTTATACATAATTGAATAGTTTTGTGAAGTTTTTGTCGCTTGGTACGAACAGCACTCAACTTTTAGTCCATAATTTTTTTTAGTTGCGTTCTGAGACAAATGGTCAAAAAAGAGTTTGAAATTCACAGCAACCATTTACCATCAGGTGGACTGTGTGCTCGTTTGTCACCCTATCCTATAAAACAAAATTTAAAATTCTGGATTAATGAAATTACGAGCAATTAATACTATCATCCATAGGATGATTTTTTGTTATAGAATAAGGATGACAAACGGGCACACAGTCCAACTGATGGTAAGTGGTTGCTGCGGCCTATATTTATTAATTATTTGTTGTGCGATCAAAAGACATTTACATCTATCCTCTATTACAAATCAAAATGCATCAGAATGCCTCTTTTCCAGTAAAAAGGGTCTCCTGTACTCTACACTCACCATACGAAACACAACAGCGTTAAACTGCTATTTTACGCTAGTATTCTGTGAGAACGTGGTCCTTCCCCGGTCGAGCCGACCCATTCGTGCTACAACTATAGTACTAATATAGTTGCAGCATGGTTCTACCACGTATAGAATACACTATAGAATACGTATAAATAAAACATTGGTCGCAACTATGGTGTGAAGTGATGAATAATAATATTGATTAATAAATTTTTAATATAAGGTGGACTTCATATTTAATGCCCTTTTATATATAAAATATTTTATCCGCAAAAAGTACAATTTTGTACATCTCTGCGGATGGAATAAGCAATTTACCTCTATTTACAAATGTTGTAGATGATTGATATTTATTTACATTCAAAACGTATAAATGATCGGTTTGTAAATGATCTGCAGCAATTAGCAAATTTTTACAATCGTTCCCTTTCAGCTGTTTGACGATATGTTTTATATAACCGGTAATATAATAAAGAATAGTTTTTTGATAATCCGTATGGGTGTTTTGTGTCTGCAAAGCCTGCAAGTGATTTTCGATTTCATCATTAGTATCTGTATCATCAGAATTTGAGATCGGATTTGGATCAGATGAAAAGCTCCACAATGCAATTAAAGAAGGCCAAAGAACGTCTTAAGGTCTCAACGTTTGGCAAAGTTGCATATTGTTTAATAAAATAGTACGCTTTTGACAAGTAAAATGTAATGTTAATAATTAGTTCTTCTTTTCGTGATAAATTAATCCTTGCTTGCACACTTATCAGCGCGAAAGATTTGAATGGAGGAAGTGATTTTATCCATGACCTGAAAGAGTAAAAAGCTCTTACAATGAATATTTTTATAATGGACTAGTTAGTGGTGAAAATGCTATAGTCAGAACTAAAATCACAATTGAACTTTAAAAACCTGGAACACTGAAAAAATTTAAACATAATATGTAGTTAACAATTTAATAGACCAACAAAGCATGCTGATAAAATTAAAATATCATTACTATGTTGTATTTTTTTATAGGATAAGGGTGACAAACGAGCACACAGTCCACCTGATGGTAATTGGTTGCTGTGACCCATAGACATCTACATTTATCCGCGATTACGAATCAAAATGCAGATGCGTTGTCACCCGTGAGGACTAAGATGGAATGCCTCGTTTCCAGTAAAAAGGGTCTCCGGTTCTCTACACTCACTATACGAAACACAGCAGCATTACGCTGCTATTTTACGCTGGTATTCTGTGAGAACGTGGTCCTTCCCCGGTCGAGCCGACCCATTCGTTTTACAACTATACCAGAAATATAGCTGCAGCATGGCTCTACCACGTATACTTTGTCTTGAACACTTTATTTTTCATTTTGTCATACTTATCGTACAATTTATCAAAAAAATGGTTTAACTGAGACAGCAATATTGATGAAATATGTGTAAATTTTCATTTAAAAATTAAATACAATTAAAAACTTAGCAAAATATGTACAAAATAGCTTGTAATTATTTTTACAAATTATAGCCTAGTGATATAACATATCAAGCTGTTCCTGTTTTCTAGGTAACAGAATGCATTTTTCTTTCTTTCTCAAAAATTTCTTTCTGCGATTTTTTTAAAATTACTTTTTTCCCTTGGAAACAAAACATCGCTTTGAATTAAGAAATAACAAGTATCTAACAAAAGCTCATACCTGTACCACAGAACAATCTGCTATTTCATTTAAAAACGGTGTGACTCCTTGTCTCAGCAGTTTCCCAGTAATCGTGTAATTGGTTGTTGGTTGATATGAAATAGATTACAAATCTTTGCTTTTTCAAAAAAGGGTATTTTAGCTCCACATTGTTTAACCATTTTTTTTTTAATTTATTTACCATATTACAAAGCATTACAAAAAAAACTATACTAAAAAGTCGCATACAGAAAACCACTAAGGTTTGTGATGATGCGACCAGAGTCGACGTTACGTTAAGTATAATTAATATAGTTTGTAAAAAGGAAACATTACAGCCTAATTAGGACCTGAGCAAACGCATATACGCTGTTTCAAGTAGTAATTTTTTTTATAAATTACACAAAAAGTACATTTTAAGTTTTTTTTGATGTTTTTTATATTTAAGTTATCGCGAAAATCTGGGGGTAGGTTGTTTATAAGTCGTGGAACAATGTAACTTGCTGTTCGTTCCCCGTACATATTGTTTGCCTGGCTCGTCTGCAGCTTGCGTCTGCTTACGGCGCGCGTACACACGGGGTGCTTAATTTCTAATTTTAACTTTTCATTAAAAAAGTGTTTTTTTAAAAGTAAATATTTGACTTGTGTATGAACTGGTAGTATATTGCAGTGCTTAAAGAGCATACTATCGTCATCATGAAATTGATGTCGAATCTTGTCTGTTACAATGTTTTTAAGGATTGTTATCTGGAGGTTATATATTTTGTTTAAATAAGTATTAAATGTACGACCATAGCTACCTAAACCATATTGTATATAAGATTCTGCCAGAGAGTTATATAACATCATCTTAACTGGGAACGGAATTCTGTTCTTCAGTATTATAATATTAGCTAAGAATTGTCTTAACTTGTTACAAACACACTCGATGTGGTTATGCCAAGTAAACTTACTATCGATCTGCATTCCAAGATATGTCTGGGTATTGACGAGATCTATAGAGGGGCAACTGCAAGTGTTTTTACAAGACGAGTGAAGGCAATAATGATCGTGAGCAACAATGTGCTTGGATAAAGTACACTTGATATAAGGAGACTTTATGTGTAACAGCTTGGTTTTAGAGGAGTTTAGAACCAATCCGGCGTCATGACACCATTTTGCAAGCATATTAAAGTCAGACTGTAACAGGTCACATGCTATATCAGGGTCTTTATCGGCGACTAGCAAACATGTGTCATCAGCAAACTGGTAGCATGAACAGTGATTTATGTAAAAATGCATGTCGTTTACATATGATAGAAAATGGAGGGGGCCAAGCACAGATCCCTGTGCTGTGCCTTCAGTTACAGTCACTGGGTCGCTGTGTGTGTCATTTATTCTCACAGAGAATTTCCTATTTTTGAGATAATTTGTACACCATTTCAGAAGAAGTCCCCGTATTCCACAATCGTCCAACTTAGTGATGATTTTTTTATGATTAAGAGTGTCGAATGCCCGTGAAAAGTCAATAAATAGGACGAGTACATGGTTTTTGTTATTGAGATACTCGTTAATTTCATCTGTTAACTT